GGCCGTTCGGTGACCTATAGTTGTTAAGATCCTTGTAATTTGGTCTTGTGTGGATTGTTATCTCATTGGCAATCAGACCACATTTCCTTATTTGTATATAGACCTAGTCAATATGTTACGGATACCACAAAAACAATGTATAAACATTGTCGCTACAAAAAGTCATTCTTGTCTCCAGATCTTTAGGACAGTTGTATCCGTAAAACTTGGTATAGTTAAAAAAAAAACACACAAATTTACTCCTGCTTAAATTATGAGAATTATTATTTTGGAGTGTGGAAGCTAGAAGAAACATTTCAGAAACGCAAACAAAATAAGGTTTTGCATTAATGAAATATCGTTCACTGTCCGTTGCCTCTTTGGCCTTATGACCCCTGCCTTTAACACAAATACATAAATTTTGATCTCAAACGGTCAATTTGATCCGAACAGCTCAAAAATGACTGAACAATAAATTGGAAAGTCATTTTCCGTCTTTTAGTCAAAAAAAGAGGGACGAAAGAAAAGATACCAGAGGGACAGTCAAAACAAACTGACAACGTCATGGCCAAAAATAAAAAGACAAACAGACAAATAATAGTACAGATGACACAACATAGAAAACTACAATTTACAGACTTATCCGATGATGTAAATTCAGTATTTTTTTATTCAAATTAATTAAGATCTATTCAGTCTATATTCAGATTGTTCTGTAGTCGTTATTTACCTGTACAAATCAACATAATACTGAACTGTCTGGAAAGCTGCTGAACAATATACTGAATTGGCAGCAAGGGAATTGTCTAAAAAATGTATTGTTCAAATTTTTAAGATGATGTTAAAATCAAAATGACCGTTTAAGACTAAAGTTCATTTACTAGTACTAGTGAGTGTGTTACTTATTTTTGACTCATCCAAAATATTAACTGATTCCTGCATAGACGTACAGCTTATTACAAAATAATTGAAAATTTGGTGACCATGTTGAACTTGTGATAAAGGATACAACAGATACAGTTAATAGATATAAGAAGATGTGGTATGAGTGCCATTGAGACAACTCTCCATCCAAGTCAAAATTTATAAAAGTAAACCGGAATAGGAAATAATAGGCAAAGCAGTAAAAGAACTCTTACAAAAACTGTTATAAAAGGCCCGACGTAAAGACTAAAGTATTACAATACTGACATATAACAAACACAGGGCAAAAACAGATTTTGTAAGAAATCTTAGTAAAACCATAGCAGGGGGCAATAATAAAAATAGCAGTCGTGGATGAGTATTTATACATCCAAACACCATAATATATAATTAACAATTAAGAACAAAGATATAATAAACATGTGAAAGCTCTCTCACAGGCAAACAACCCATAACTGAAAAATATAAGGGCATACACCACAAGCACGGGGACACATTCTACTGCATCCACACAGCAAGTTTTACCGAATTAGACTTATTACCTGGTTTGTACTCACATGAGCAACAGGACGGGTGCCACATGTGGAGCAGGATCTGCTTACCCTTCCGGAGCACCTGTGATCTCCCCCAAGTTTTGGTGGGTATCGTGTTGCTCAGTCTTTAGTTTTCTATGTTGTGTTTTGTGTACTATTGTTTGTCTGTTGGTCATTTTCTTTTTTTACCATGACGTTGTCAGTCTATTTTCGACTTATGAGTTTGAATGTCAATCTGGTATCTTTCGCCTCTCTTTTATTGTATATAGAATGTGTATGTTACGGAAAAGAAAGGATTGTTGTATTAATCATGTTAATGTACGACGCAAAATCACATCATGCGTCTGATTAAAGTAAAAACGAAAGGATAGAAATATTTTCATGTAATAGTCGACATAATGATCAGATATTTATGTCTAACTTTGAGCCATGTGATTTTTTACAAGTTTCGTTTAAAAATGGAATATTATAGATCTTAGTTTTATACATATATTCATTTCAGATATTAAATTGCCATTACGTTTTTATACACTTGAATAAAGGAGGAGGATTCAAACTTAATGTTGTTTTCGTATATTTTTCATAGGAAACAAAGTCGTTTTTCTCTACCATTGAGAAACACTTTTCTTTTCGCACCATGAGAAAAAACTAAAATGACGAAAAGACAAACAGGTCCACAAAACACTACATAGAAAGCTAAAGACTTGGTGAAACAAACTTCACCAAAAACCGAGGTAATCTCAGGTACTCCGGAAGGGTTATTTGTATTTATATCCTGTCCAACCAGTAAGATTACAAAATAACGCAAAATAGGTGTGATACTATTTAACGGTGCTGTGCGGATATTCAACACGGAATTATTTGGGAAAAAAGCTATAATTATATAAAAATAAGAAGATGTGGTAAGATTTCCAAACAAACAACTACCCACCAGAGATCAAATGACGTTGATGTAAATAACTATATATGTCACTGTACGGCCTTCAACAATAAACACTACCCATACTGTATATAAAAGACCCCGACATGATGAAATGTTAAACCATTCAAACGAGAAAACCAACGACCTGATTTATGTTAAAAAAAATAAATGAAAAAACAAATAACACACACAGCAGCCAACGACAACCTATTAAAACAAATATAGATTATGTAGAAATACTATTAACTATTGTCATAACTGGAAACCAAATATAATAATGGATTCCAAATAATAAATGCCTATATCAACTGTATGCTTATCAACCGCTACTTATCCTAACAAAACTGACAAAGGTGTTAATGAGTTTGCATTTGAATAATTGATAAATATGGCAAACATTTTACAGTACTTTAAGCATAAAAGTATCTATTGCAGCAATATTATATAAACATCTGATAAAGTATTCAGTGTGCATGAAATATGCGTCTGTAATAATCTTCATCGGGTTCGCTCTAGTCAAAAATGGAAATCCAAAACATAAATCCTTCAAAAGTATCAAGCCAAAAAGTCCACTATTAACGAGGATACGTTGTCAGTAATCTAAAGCTGTTTAGGTATATTGTGAGTAAAACAAGGTAAAATTTATAGCATTGAATTACAGTATATATATGATAACCTATGATACTGGTATCTAATTACTATGTTGGTGATTTGACGAGTCTGGCAAGGGTTGTCATAAATGCACGTGATGTGCACACTTACGGTCTCAATTTTAGGTTCAAGATTGTATCACTATTGTTGTAATCATTAGTACGAATCCCCTTTTTGAGAATACTTAAGTACATATAAAGTATAGTTTCTCTATCAAATCCATCGAAAATATTTTGATTGATAGTCATAATAAGATCCTTGTTTGTTGTTGACTATCGCTATTGTTTTTCGTTTACTGATTTCGTCATAAATCAGGCCGTTGGCTTTCTATTTTCAATTGTTTAAATTGTTCACTGTTTGCATTTCCGGGGTCATTTAAATATCTTATCACACGGTATGGTTTTTGCTTATTGCTTAGACTGTACTGTAACCTATTTACCTTCTCATCATTTCGTCTTTAGGGATAGCTATATTGGCGATCAGACCCATTTCTTCTTTTTTTTATATTGAACTAGTCAAGTAATTACGGATACCACCAACAATAACGTAAAAACAAATCATTATTGTTTACAGTTATTTATAGCGGTTGCATCCTCATCTTTTTATAAAATTGGATGCAGATAAAAAATATTTACTCCTTTTTAACCTTTATTAGTTATTGCAGCGGGAATTATCATTTTGTTAATGTTAGCACGAGTTTCTTGCTTTTAAATTCGAATAGACATAAAAAGACTGTTTCAATGTACCATATTGTTAGTTGTTGGAAAAACATACAGGAGTTTGGACGGAAAAACTCTCCCATCCCTCCCTTTAAACAAATTTCTGCTATTTCTGAATTTATTTTACAGGTTGCAGTTCTCATTAATATTTTGAACATTCTATCCATGTACCTGATAAGAAGATCATCAAAAATCGTCATGGCAGAACTTGCTTGGACTTAATTGATTATTGAGATGGCGAATTTATCAAAATTCACTGCTTTGCTTGACCCAGCATACACAATTGTTATACACTGACTGGTACACCCGTCAGTGTTTGATAGTCAACTTGTTGTAAATTGTTGACAATTTATGTTATTTGTTTGAAGAAAATTAAATTGACATGACAAATAAGCATCCAAAAACTAATCAAGTTGTTGTTGTTTATTTTACAATGAGGGGTGCATGTTTGTTTTCGAAACTCAATGTTGTATTTACCTTTTTCGTATACCTTTCAATGAAAACGAAAAAATTTTTTCAATTCAATTCTGAAACAAATTATTTGTTTCAAGAAGGTAATTAAGGTAACATTGGTATACAATAGTCATAATTCGATTAAGCAAAAACAAATCCGGGTAACAAACTAAAACCGAGGGAAACACATCAACTATAAGAGGAAAACAACGGAAGAACAGATACACTGAACTACAACAAAAGTAAACTCCAAAATACATAGAAACGGTCTGTAGATAACAACTGCCAAATTCCTGACTTGGTACAGGACATTTTAGTTGAATCTGGTTGTATGGCTAGCGAAACCTCCCGCTTATATGGCAATTTTAAAAATACCGCTAGAATTACAACACTACGTGACAGGAATACTTTACATACAAACGCAAGAACACTAAGCACATAAAATTTACGACAGCACACCCGGACAACACAAACGAAATATAAACTGCGCGTCAAATGAATGGAAACATTTTATTTAAAAAAAATCACCTCTTCCCCCCAAACAAAAAAGAAAAGGATGAATAGCCGATTACTTTATATTGTATATGTACACAGATGCATTACTTTGAACATGATGAAGAAAAAAAGACTGTTTTGTCCTAAAAACAAATAGTGTATATCACTATGCCACCTTTTACATTGTTTTATATCGTATTGTAGAAACGCAGATAGAATAAAAGGACAACAATACTTTTTGAGTAGTCAATTTTGAAATGGTATATTGATTGAAGTGAATAATTCATGTTCATATTGTGCTTTTGTTGAGAATTAACGTTTTGTGATTGATAAGAGCTTATATATTCAGTACCACATTGAATGTGTTCTCATAACGGAGCGTATGAATTATAGCTAATAATTATTATACATTGACTATGAATGTCTTTACATTGGTGGTATTTCTCTATAATGTTGGAGTTGCATATTTTCAGCAATGCACAGTCAGAACATTACGTGTAGATGCAGATAAGACTGGGGCTAGGTATATAAACGGAAACACATATATCACTTTCTCTAATATTGGTCCGAATGCATGTTTCAATGAATGTATCCGAAGAACAAAGTGCCGTTCATTTAGCTACAACAGCATAACACGGAGATGTGACATAAATAAAATGTCCAGTAACTCAGAGACAGATTTTGTGGACGAAACTAATTGTGTTTATGTTGATATGACACAATACAGAGGGGTGAGTAAGATTGTAATTACAGACTTATGCTCAGGGCATTGATATGGACTATCTATGAGTTTCAGTTCCTTTGGTTTTTTCTTTATTCTTCATTTTGTGAGTGCGTGTTGTTTTTAATTTTCATTGTTTTTGTATTTTTATTTAGTCATTCTTTTTTGTTGTTGGTTTTTTTTTTATTGGGAGCGGTTTTGGTGTTTTGTCTTTTTGTGCTTGTTTTGTTTTGTTTTATAATTGCATTTGCTTTTTATTGTTCAGTTGATTTTTCTTGTTTCTAATTAAAATCCAAGATAATATGCATTCGCTCCATATTATTTTATTATTTTATTTTGACATTACGTGTATCCTATAAGGACTCAATCTCAAACAAGTTGCATTTGCATTTATAATGAAATACTTTGAGCTTGAGAAAATTTTCAGGAACTGCCAAATGAATAAAAAAAAACAACACTTTTTTTTATTCTTAAAAAACTGAAATATATATATATAATTATAATTCGACATTTCAGAATCTAATACATTCTGGGTAATATTTTCAAAAGCGTAAAATGAAACATAGTGATGGGTTAAAAAAGTTCTAGACAATGGAAATATATTAAGGGCATACGATATAGTTTTGATCCAACGGTGAATGTTTGACGAAAGTTTGCGTACAAGCTATTTTTCACCTACTGAATTCAAATATGTAATAAAAAATACACCTTCATGTGCTACTTTTAGAGATGAATTTGGTCAAAATATTAGAGATGTACTGGAAATTTCGGTTCTTGGAATTTCTACCCTTTGGAAAGACATACCTTTCTTTTTCAAAAGATAATTTTAAAATATTTGGAATATCTTCTCTTCGTGTGTGCTTTAAGTTTTTGTAACAATTCTTTGGAAATAATTCATCTTTATCACATTTTCATGACTTTAGTAAAAAATGGTATTTTTGCTGTATATTTATCTAATTCAAAAAAAAAATTAATCGATGATTTGTTCATAAAAATTGGCACAAATAATCTGCATACATAATCAAGCCAGATGTTATGTTTGATTGATTGTTGGTTGCTTAACGTCCAGTGTTTGCAAAGAGGAGTCCGTGATCTTTTGACTTAGCTAACTTGTTATAACGACTTAGCTGATCTAACTCGTTATAACAACTTAGCTAATTAGCAAACTCGTTTAAACCACTTAGCTAACTCGGTTAAAGCTTTATTTCATTTTCCAAATTTTAGCATGCCAAACAATGTTCCGATTGACTTGTCTTTGATTTTTCAATATCGTAAAAAGTTAATAGATGCCTATGCATGCTAATATATATTTTTTTGTTTTTGCTGACCCGTTGAATTTTACTGATTATCTTCTTCTTCTTAAAAATTAGTATATATAAGTTTTGGTTCCTTTCTCCTTCCCTTATTAACATGAAACCACTTTCCTTTAATAAAAGTACCTGATCCACTACTGATAAAACTAAGCAAACCAAAAAAAAAAAAAAAGGACTTCTGTGATTTATCTCTTCCGTTTGAACAATCCATCAAGACAAATTAAACAATTTAAATTTATCAGTAAATGTCTTTTAATTTGACACCCTTGTGAAGTTCTACCTTATCTAGAAAATTGTTGCAATCTTCGATGAATGTAGAACATTTAAGTTAAGAATGTATTTCATTTTCATTTTTTTTTTTTTTTTTGAAGTTCAACTACTATTTCTAATTAATGTGCACTTATAGTCGAAATTTAGAAAGTAATGAATAAGAAGACAATCGAAAAAAAAACAATACCAAGATGTTAGGGGTAAAGTCAACTCCTGGAATTGAGTAAGTAGCTAAGTCGTTATAACGAGTTAGCTAAGTTGTTTAAGCGAGTTAGCTAAGTTGTTTAAACGAGTTGGCTAAGTTGATATAACGAATTAGATAATCTACATCGTTTAAAAACGAGTTAGCTAAGTGGTTTAAACAAGTGAGCTAAGTTGTTTGATCGAGTTAGCTAGGTCGTTATAACGACTTAAAAATAAAACACAACCCTGATACTAACCGGCTTCCGTACTACGTCCTTTCAATGCAAACCAATAAAAAATAAAAAAAAATTAAGAATACAACTTTATCTAAAATCTAGCGATTAGTATTACAAAAGGGAGGCCAAAGATACCAAAGAGATATTAAAACTTATTGGTCAAACCAAACTGACAACACAACGACAAAAAAACGGAAAACGACGAAAATAAAACATCAGTCTACAAAATACACATAGAAAAATAAAAGGCAACCCGATCCACAACAAAACAAGGTGCTCCGGAAAGATCACGTGTGTCACATATCGTGCTGAATACAGTCTGAATTTCAAATATGGACGATTTATGAAGGAATTTGTACGTCGCCAATGGTAGAAAAGTGATTCAACTCTGACTCAAATTACGTCAATGGAAAATACACTCAGAACACTATACAACACAAACTTTTACCAAATGCCAAAGGGTATTTTCTGATTGTTGTCGGTGTGAATGAAAACAAATGTTGAGTATACGTCACTGAAAGTGCATATAAAGCCAGAATAGACACATAAGGTTTGAAAATCGTTCCACATCAGCATTGGAAAACTAAACAAGTGTCTTAACATACAGTGTATGTCATGTTGAGTCCAAATATATTGTGAGTACATAATACTAGCGATACCAATTCAACATAGACAATAATATTCTGAATTGTCTTCCTCGTCGATTATATAGCCATGTAGTTTATGCCAATTATGACAAAAAATCATTCAGAAACAGGCTTCATGTGCAAAACAATTAGGCAACTAACTATCGTTTATCTTTATTTATAATATATTTAGGACTCCTTTTATGATCCATGTCCCGGGAGCGATTCTTGTGTGGAAGGAGAAGTTTGCCAGACTCTGAAAGAGGACACAAAGATATGTGTTAAAGATATGAAAGATACTGGTAGGTTTGGTTCTTAATATTATTATCATTGAAGCTTTCATTGATGTTATATTATTACAGTACATTATACGTTGTTCCAGTTACTGTGTTTTTCGTTATTTCCTTTTTATATACTCGTCATAGCAATCTACATAATCTGCATAATGAGGTCGGTCATTTAAAAAAAAGTACAATTTTTGGAACTGAACTTTTCTAGAAATCAAATTTGAATAATTGCCAAAAAAGATTGCCTCGTGCACACTATTAAAAAAAATGATCTTAACGACACCTAAAAGCGATTTGAGTTATCATTTTATGGCTGCTTTTGTTAAATTCTTATCTGTGATTTGTTATAAAACTAGAGTGATAAGAAAAAAGAATGTATACATTTAAAGTTTCGTTTAAATCGTTGAAATTGGTTTTACAATGTATATTTGAAATCACCTTAACAAAAACTATATTAACAAAGAACATAATATAAATAGTACCTGCGATCGAAAAAAATCATCATAATTTTTATTTTTCAAATGCTGACAAAACCAGATTGTTAAAATAGACAATACCAAAAAAAAACACTACTGTTATAAAATAAGGAGATGTGGTATGATTGCCAAGGAGACAACCATCCAATAAAGTCCCAAACTACGCCCTTCAACAAAGAACCAACTCAAATACCGTATATTCAGTTTTAAAAGGCAACATGTGAAAAACAATTCAAACGAAAAGTCAACGTCCTGATTTATGACAACAACAAAAATGACGAAAAATATATATACCAGACAGCACTAACGACAATCACTAAGTTACAGGCTCCTGATTTGAGACAGGCACATTTAGTATGTGGTGAGATTAAACATGTTTGTGAGCGCGCAACCCTTTTCCTAGCCTGGAACATTGGTGTAACGGCACATCCGAAGAACATACTATAAAAATCAGTTGGATATTACCTCATTTATCAGATCGGCCCAAAAGACCATTTATCAGATCGGCCCAAAAGACCATTTATCAGATCGGCCCAAAAGACAGAAAACAACTTATATAAAGACACAAAAGACCCAAAGTACCGTTTGAGTCTACTTACAATCGTATTAACCGGGATATTGATCAAGAGATCAACTGTTTTAGATTGCAGAATTATTTTTCCGTAACAAGAACAAAGATTCACAGTAATAGGATTGACAAGCAAGTAATTGTGGACATTACATGTATCAGTTATATTGCTTATTTTTAATAAAATATGTATAATGTCACATAAACTCATGAATATTTGTTTTTTGTTTAACTAAATTATAAATAATAGATGTCTTTAATTTTTGTTAATCCTGTTACCAATCAATATAAAACTTTAATAACAATTTTTTTTCAATATGAACTTTTATTTTGTCAACTAATAACTAATAACTAATGTACCGTACGGTTATAGATATATATACATATCTATACATTTTTCTGTTGGTGTCAATTATTTCAGCAACATTTTGAATAAACGTGTACTATATGTCCATCCTGTTACCGTTTTTTTTTTGTAACATGATTGACAGTAGCAGAATAGACAAGTTTAAAATAAATTTGAATCTGTTTTGAAAAAGTTACTCAATAACAAGAGGGGTTGGACAGAGGTTAGGAAACATGGGAATAAGGGGGCGGGAAGTGGTAATCAGGGGGAAGCGGGGTATGTCATCGGGAGAAAAGGGGGAGTAAAAATAGGGATATGTTGGAAAAGTTTTTAAACCGATTTTCGTCTGGGAGTAGGATGGAGGAAGTGATATCAAAAGTGGGATATACTGCATTATCTTCTTGTGGCCAAAAAAGTTTCGGTCCCAAATTGATTTTTTCAATGTTGTAACAACACCGTCTTTTTTCCAGGAATAAGTAAAATTGATATCTGACGAAAGCATACTCAAATTATGTGAAGTGTGCGGTATGCATGTATGGTTTTATACTTAATTCTTGCAAACATTTGGGTTCAAATTTCAGTTATCTATTGTGACTTTACTGTTCTTCGTCAAATTATCATGTAACGATCATGGTGATGAACTGTCAGAGGGTCTGAATGGGGTTTACAGAATAGATAATAATGTGCCAAACGGTGCAGAATAAAGGACCGAATTTACAAAGAATAGAGAAAAATAGGCGGAAAAAAAGAATAGAGAATAAAAGGCAAAAAAATAAAATATAGAGAAAAGTGCCAGAAAAAAATAAGTAATACAGAAATGAAGGATAACCCTTCCAGACCCTCCTGTTAGTGTGTGCATGTTTGTAGTTGTCTTGAATATAGAGTATTTTCTAGGATAATGCATTATTGAAATTAAGAACTTCATCATCGGTTTACATTTAATAGGACCGTAGTAGAATTAGGCAATAATGTATGGTAGCTCGTGGTATTTAGAGATTTTACCGCCGTTAGACCATATGTTCGTGAATTGTTTTAAATTTCCAAACATGTCAGACCTACTCATGGTGAAATCAGAGACACACGGGGTTCCATGATCATTGTTCTGAATCTAATATGAAAATCACTAGAAATCGTGTTTCGTCGGACAACGCCTTAAATTTATGACGTATTTGTGCACAAATGTATGAGGGTCTGGATGGGGTTAACAGAATAGAGAATAATGGGCAAAAAGCGCAGGAAAAAACAAACAAAATAGTGAAAAATAGGCCAAAAAAATAAATAAAGAAAAGACAATAAATAATGGGGTGCTAACATATCAAGATTGATGATAACTGCGTGCTAAAACAAAAAGAAAAGAGAATATTGGGCAAAATAAATAAACCATAGAGAAAATGGTCTAAACAATTAAAGAATAAAGAAATGAGGAACCCCCATTCAGCCCTCATATAAAGTAACATCGTCATGCTCTGTCCGACATGGTTTTTTAGTAATCAGTGAGAAATCGGGTGAAAAAGAACGAAAGAAAATCACCTCTTCTTATGATAGAGTCGAGAAAATCAATAATAAAATAATGCCGGTTACGACACTGATCAAAGGTTATTTCTAAATAACAATTGTACATTTTAAAGAAATTATTTTTCAACTGTGTTATTAGAAATATACATGCAAATACACGATGTTTTATGTACAGTTTTTATCGAGATAATTGCATTAGAAGCTTGTGAAACTGAAATATAAAAAATGACAATCTTTGCTGCATATTGGTGGAAAAAATTATGTACATACATGTACAAAATCTAAAGATCTTTCGGGTCACCAATTTTTGGAGTGTTCCACAAAGTCCTCAGCATGTTACTATGTCCCAAAATATACTTATTTTTCACGTTCTTAGTTTTTGGGCACACCGGTCAGCTCTTGTCATATGAAAATTCAATAAAGAAATAGTTTCTTTTCATGAATATAACAACATAAAAGTCTGTCTGTGCAGGTTAAAAAAATAAATATAAATATTCTTCTCCAGTAGGCATCTTTTAACATATTTTCTATAAGATTTTAAGAAAAGGTCTTCTCGATTTTTGTACATGTATTTGCTCTCGATCTATTCACATTCAATGTTTACATCGGGTTAAGGTCCGTTTGAATTTGCTTAGTAACTAAATTTCAAAAGTGCAAATCTTTGCTGCATATCAATCGATTCCTTTGGAATTTTTTCCCTAACTTTCTCTGATCTTACTGCATAAATATACGGATAATTAGCATGTTCCAGAGAGGTATACAGCCAGTAAAAAAAAAAAAATTGAAGTTGGTTTTCCAGGAATTTTTGCGCATAGCAACATTTTAAACCAATTTTACACCAAGCTCCTTTAGTCTGCTGTACTCGTCGTTTTCTATTTATAGAGCGAAATGATAACATTAAATGGAAGTTTTGTTTTTATTTCAACTTATTTCTATTTTTACTATTTACCAGAACGTTTTTCCTTGAATTTATAATTGATAACGTCCTTGCTAAAATGGGACAAACATTGAAAAGATCAAGCTTTTAGTGTTTACAGGGGAGGTAATATTTTGTCCATAGATTGAGATGGATCTAGATCAACTACCTGCTGATATGGCACCTGCTGATATTGCACCATTAATCTGCCAATAGTGCCCCCATGAAGAACGTATGCAATATATTTACATTGTCGGAAAATATAAAATTTATTTGTATGAGCTTTAGAAACAGGACGAAAAGCGAGGCTCGCCGAGCTTTTCTCCTGTTTCGCAGCGAGTACAAATAAATTTTATATTTTCCGACAATGTACATATATTGTATTTTTCCTGAAATTTACACCCAACACTTGAAACTTTAGTTGTTAAAATCTAAATCATTGTCTCTAATTTTTCAAAGAAATCGACATAGTTTGAACGCGGACCGCGAAGAGGACCCCAACATGAACTGGTACGCAAAAAGAAATATCCACATTACCGCTTGCTCAAAATGGAAGAGGGGTAACAGGAGACTTTATTTGTACAAGTACAAATAAAGCAAAAATTTATTTGTGTACCTGTTATTTGTACAATAGTTGGCTGATTGCAGGATATAACTAAAGTTGCTTCTCTTTGTACATTAACCAGTTTAAATTGAAAATGAATGTCATGTAATAACGTGACGTCACGAAAGATGGACGTTTTTTCAAATGCAGCTTTGAACAGATAAAGATTTTACGGTTTACCGGATGTATTTTAAGTAGGAAAATGGTATAAATTAATGAAGAAGCTGGAAATATATTGGATTTTAATATGTGCATATTTGTTTCTACAGCGAATTTGTAGATATTGTAAACTTTGTAACTTTTCTTCCGTTGCTAATGTAAACAAGTTAATGATGGCGGAAACTGCTGTGGTTTTTGTTGATGGAGCATGCAAAAACAATGGTCAAACAAGCGCAAAAGGCGGCTGTGGTGTTTTTTGGGGACACTTTCATCCGTTGAATGTAAGTGAATACTTGGAAGGAAGTAAACAATCAAATAACTGTGCTGAACTATCAGCCGCAATTATTGCATTAACGCAAGCACAAACGTTTAGATTTACGGATGTGGAAATTTATACAGATAGTAAATATGTAAAGGATGGAATTACTAAG